GCTTCTTCTAAACTCGTCAGAGTATCTTTGAATTTTTCTTCTTTTCTTCGTAGCAGCTGCTGGGCTCACCTTATTTCAAGGGCACGCAAGAGGAGATGATGGAGGCAGAGAAATGAAGGCTGAGAGATGGGAGGAGATGGAGACAGAGATATGAGAGATATTTGAGGATAGGGTTCGTCCTAAAAAAGGTGAAGATAGGGTTAGTGAAACGCTGTGTTTCACTTATGGGCTGCTATTTTAATTGGTATTTTCAGTTGTATTGAAGAAAGGTGACAGTAATATTTAATTACATGAGGAATATGTACTCAGTAGAATTTACACTTGGATGAAGCTAGAAGAAATCAAGAAACTAACCCCCACAAAGCACCAATATTTCCTCAAAATCAATTTGATGTTTGAGTACTAGTGTTGGAGCAAGAATAAGATCATGAGAAACTTCACAATTAAAATTGCTTCTCACTTCCTAACTAACCTTTCAATTTCTTCTAACTCACCGGTAACCACCGTATAATCGAGCTAGCCTATGAAAACCTCTGTCTATTGTCTATGCGACAAGGCAGAATTATGAACCCCATTCACACTTACTCTGCTTCATGTGGACGTGGACATGTCGTCTACGAGACAATGGCGGTTCTAGCCTATGGCAGGCTGGGCTCATGCCCGGCCGAAATTTGTGTTAAAAAAATATTACCCACACTCTTCTCTCTCCTCTCTCCTCTTTTGCCCAACCCAAATTTTTGTTAAAAAAAAATATTACCTACACTCTCCTCTCTCCTCTCTCCTTTTTTTATTCTTTTCCTTCTCTCCTCTCTCCCTCTCTCTTTTTTCGTTCTTTTCCTTCTCTCTTCTCTCCCTCTTTTTTTTTTCTTTCTTTCTTTTCCTTCTCTCTTCTCTCCCTCTCTCCTTTTTTTCCTTTCTTTTCCTTCTCTCATCTCTCCTCTCTCTTTTTTTTCCGTTCTTTTTCTTCTATCTTCTCTCCTCTCTCTCTTCTTCTCTCCCTTTCTTATTTCTCCCTTTTCCTTCTCTCTTTTTGTTAGAAAAATATTACCAACATTACTTATGATTATTAAATTTTTTTGTCTCGCACAAAGATAGCTATTTCAGAAATTACGGAACATGATTGATAGGGCTATAGAGCTTGATGTGGAAAGCCAAAAACGGATGTCATAATAGACGTTTATAAAAGGAAACAAAGGGAGAAATGAGGTCACAACTTGTTAAAAAAAAACCTAACTCCGCCAATTTTCTTCATTCCCATTTCTCTCAATATAAACCTAGCTTTTTTTTAAAATTAATGTAGTCCCCTATTTTATCTTTTTTTTAATGTAAAATTATTATTTTTTCTATTTTTTTTCTTTTCATTTTTCTTTTGGTTTTTATTTTAGTTTTCGTATTTGTAGATAAAAATGCATTTGAGGGTAAAGCTTCTTACGTCTCCCCTCACTATGTAATCTTTTTATGTTTATTAATGAAATTCACTCGTTTCATCAAATTTATTATATAAGTTTTGCCCGGTCGGCTTTTGAATCCTGAAACCGCCACTACTACGAGAGGAAGAGAATTTGGAAGATGCTGCCGCCTGCATGCACAAGGAACCGTCACTCCATGACTGTTTAGGAAATGTTCCTTTTACATGAGATAATGACATCTTTTAGGTTCCCTACTAATATTAGTAATATATTTAGTTAAACAAATAGTAATCAATCAATGTTTGTGCAAAAGTCAATTTGATGACACCATTCTAAATTCATGAGCATATAAATCACTAATTACAAATACATTACTATCTTGACCCACAAGCTCAAAAGTCACACATAGGCTATAGGCCTCAGTCTCCTAGTTCTTCTTAGAAGTGACTGAGAGAGATTGTGAGAATAATTTTAGGCTTAATTATTGATATAGTCTTATAGATATGACCCTTAAAACTCCTTTTAATTTTCAGTATCATTTCGCCTTCTAAAATTTAATTTCTCTTATTTAATCCTCCAAATTTGAATTTAGTGTCTCATTTTGCATTAACTCTTGTCAAAAAATCTAGTAAATATTCCGACATGACATGAGTATAGCCCGAGGCATATCAATAATTAAGCCCTAGATATTACTTGTTTGACAAACAAGAACAAAAAATGGAGGATCAAAATGAGATTTTCTCACTATATACGATAAGGCGTAGTCATTGGGTCCCACATTGGGGGCAGATAAGTGTGCATTATGCCTATATCAACATCATTATGTACGTAGGCTGGCTTTGAAAAACCACATTAAATCTTTCGTGTTCTTGAAAATCTTCATTGAACCAATTTTGGGCCATAACAAAACAAAGTTAAATGTGTAATGAGTATGCTTAAGTGCATCAACAAATAAATTATAATAATAATCTAAACAAATAAAAAAACAATTGCTGTGATAATAATACAAACTGGGCCTGGAATTGGACTGAAACCAATAGATCCAACCCATTAAAAAGTCTTAAGCTAAAAGCATGACTTAGCCCAAACATACACTTTTTCCGAACAATTTTTTTTATGCACAACCCATTTGACTGAAAGCAGCTACAAATGTCATAAGCCTGAGCTCTATATCAAATTTTCTGGTCCAAAGCCCTAACTTCTGCAGTTTCTTCTGTTTCAGCTGAACAAGCCCTTTGACTCTGAGCATTGCTTGGATGGACTTTCTTCATCACCCGAAACAAACAACCACTAGGCTGACCAATTTCAGATTCAGCTCTGCCCAGCTTGGCTCTTTCTTCTTCTTGTTCCATCTTCAGCTTCTTCTTGTGAAGGCCTCTGAGCACATATGCTTCAGCAAAACCATACCCTACCGTCGACATGGCCTAAAATATATAGGTTTTTTTGGTGTTCAAGTGAAGGAAGAAATGGGGTTTTTTGTAATTTGATGTGGTTTAGGAGGATGAGTGGTATTTATAAAGTTTTGGGTTGGCTTGGGGAGCAAGCAGACACGCTTTGCTCATGGCGGAAGGAAGCTACAGCGATGTGACGAATATTGACCGTAAAGGTTTATTTTTTGGTTGATCGTTGAATTTTATCTGTTTGTTTGGTGAGGCCTTTGGAGTTTGTGGAGGCAGAGAAAGAATTGGCTTTTGGGCGGCAGAGCGTGGTCAATTCCTTGTAAATTCTTGAGAGTATCGCCGTGCAACTATATTATTTTTATTATAAAAAAATTCGAGTATCACCGTGCAGTTATAATATTTATATTTAAAAAGACCCGCCTGCATCTATTTTGTCATGTGTCAAAAATAGTTTAGCCGAGCAGCTATCTATTTTGTTTTTATAAAAAAACCCAGCGTATAGCCGAATGGCTATACTATTTATAATAAAACAAGGACAACCCGCATAGCATCGCCGTGCGGCTATACTATTTTTTTTTAAATAAAAACCTTATTATAGCCGGGCGGCTATACTATTTATAAACCAAAAAAAGGACCGCCTGTGCCCTTTCCAGTGAAAATAGTAAAGCCATGCGGCTATACTATTTTGGGAGATTCACTATTATACCAAATAAAGGAGCCCAAATTATTAAAAAAATCATATATGAAATGGACTTTAGAAACACACCCAAAACCCATTTACAACATAACAAAAGGGTTTTAACTTCTTTTAAATTACAAAGCTGCCATTGATTTCTTAAAACAAACCCAACCTCAAAACCTCATAAAAAAAACCCAAAACACTCAATAGGGCATCAAAGTAATTTAATAATCAAAATTAAATTCAATAGGGCTAGCTATCATTTTTTGAGTTTTTTTTGAGCTTATTTATAGAAATTAAATATTGTAGGGTTTATTTATAGTTTTAGTGCTAAAAATGGATATATGACTAAATATCTGTACAAGTTTTAATAAAAAGACCTTGGGTATATGTCAAAAAGGGTATAGCCAGGCGGCTATACTCTTTTGATATGGAAAAAACCCCGCCCGCTTGGCCATGTGTCAGGCTATACTATGTTTTTATTATTTATAAAAAAATAAGGAGGACCCGCCTGCCGCCTGCTTTGCCATATTTTTTAAAACAGTATAGCCGCGCAGCTATACCGTTTTTAAATAATAAAAAACCTTTTATTTTCCAGTAAACAAACACATATTTAACTATGTATAATTATTTTATACGGAAAGCAAGTAAGAATGATACAAAACAAAATCAAAAGGTACCATCCTAAACAGCACATTTCTGATAGTATTTTTTAAGGTCAACAATTATATGAAACATCATGATATACCTTCCTTGATTCTTCATCACATAACAGAGCAAGCATTTACGTGGCACCTCTGGATACAGGGACTATTGAAACAAATTATCATGCAAAAATCAGAGCTTAACACTCAAACCCAGGGCAAATTTGTATAACAGAAAATAGAAAACAACCAAATGATGAAGAACAAGGTTATAAGATGCACATCAGAAAACTTAAAACAAAAACAGAAACAAAGCAAAACAAAAGAAAGAATCAAGAATAAGATTGCAAAACTTCAATTCAGCTTAAAGAATGCTTTAATTAATAAATTCGCAGTCCTCCATATATCGCCATAATAAGAAAACATGGAAAATACAGTTAACAAGAAGAATAATTAAAAAAACATGCTAGGGATACCAGCAAATACAAGTGTAACATTGCTGAGTATATAAAATACAAATAATCCAACTTTAATAAATAAAACTTTAGTATTCAAGTTATCTACTAGCTGCTAGTTCCTCCACCATGGGCATGCTGCGGTAATCTAGGAACTGGCGTCGGCCACCATGGGAGCTCAACTGGCAAATAGTCACCATTACCAACTGGACACTGTCTAACAATCCTAGACCACTCTTTTGTATGAATGTTGCACTTGATAATATCTCCGTCCACACGCAGTACAAAATATCCTCATTATTTGGGTCAAAAGCCTGCATTTCGCACGTAAATGGACCATCCAGATACATTTTTGTCGTCCAATTGATATACCCTGTGGTTAGTTAAACACAATCTGCCAGCAGCTCCATCGACCCTCCGATCATGATCTTGTTCTTTCAACTCCCAAACATACAGAGTATTGGTAGCTGCCTTAAAGTCACACATCTGCACACATCCTCCGAACATACCTAGGTACTCAACTACAAAACGTCCATTTAGAGGCTCCTCAAATACAGTAAAATGAAGTTTATGATCAATACTGCCATCACCATTACCGCTGCTACTAATACCAGCCAGTTGTGTTATTGTCGTTGAAGGGACCCAAACTTGTTTAACCCTGTTTCTAGATATGGCGATGATGTTAGCTCATCAAGAGCCAAGTACCAAGGGATATAGGAAGGTATAATGATTAACATGGTTTTCTTTCTTGATGCATCTTTGTTCACTAAAGTGATATACTATTTTCTCATCCTCTTCTATTTTCAAAAGGTTTTAGCTGTTTTTTCAACAAAAATAAAGCTTCACCAAAAATACAACTGTGTTCAACAACTAGCTTCCAACAAAAAACCTAAATCTAAATGTTGGAAACCTGGGTCTGAAGAATTTTATAAATAAATGAGGCATCGATCAATATGAATGTTCCTACAAATAATTATCCCAGAAGCCATAGAAAACTGATAATTCTAATCTGTTTTCCATTATAGGAATATAAATTGTGTAATTAGAAAGAAACCTGCATTGAATGTCCTCCTCGAATTGCTTCTGCTTAAGAAATCCAGATACAAGCTTCATGGAAGCCCCGCTGCATTCAATTTCCTGCTCAGAGCTCATAAGAGTATTGGAGGACAATGTTCTGTTCCTGTTGCTCAACTCTGATATCTTTGCAGATCCAGCAACACGTTTAGCATCATGAGATGTCTGAATTCCTGCAAGATTCATATATCATCATAAAGCAAGAGTCTAATTACCTTGGCCATCAAAATATCAAAGTTTATGCATACATTACCATGGCCATAACAATTAAAGCATCATCAGTCTAAGGAAAAAGTTCTTACTTTACTTTGTACAAATGATTTTCAAGAGCAGCAGCAACTCATGTGATTATCAATAGCAGCAATAAACATATTAGTTCCAAAGACTGTTGCTTTCTGACCATAACTAGCTAATTTCCAATAAGACCCATTAACACATGATCATTCTATCATGTTAACCACTAACTCTAATCACTAGTAACAAAATTACATAACGGTCATGAAACTAGATTCGAAAGAGGGATCTAAATTCCACAAATTGGAGAAATTAAAAAGTTCCTTACCATTGTCGGCAATTCTGTTCGGATTGAAGCTTGGGCAATCATTAAGGGTCGGTTTCAAGCATTGGCCAGCAATGGGGGCCGGCTTAGTCCAAAGTCTCTATGTTGTCTTTGGAGCCATGACAAGGAAGACGGATGACACTATCATCATAGCTAACGAATCAAGTCTGAAAAAGGTCATCAGTAATGGCCACTTTGGGGATTTGGCATACTTTGATTTTGACAGAGAACTTGAACAACATGTAAGATTTGAATTTTTTTTTGGAAATTTTAATTAAGAATTTGTAGGATTTTAACCCCATTTTATTACTAGGGTTTTGTGAAATCTGAACGTGCTGAGTACAAACACAAGTTCGGTCACTTCCGATGTGACCATCCAGATTTGTTGGTCAACATTGTTTGAGAATCAAAGATAAAGGCTATGCAAGCAAAGGTGTTTGATATTGAGAGTAAAATAACTCAAATTGATGGTCAGATTGATGAATTTTTAGACAAATTGACCGTATCATTTAGTTATTTTACTCTCAATATCAAACACCTTTGCTTGCAGCGACTCTATCTTTGATTCTCGAATAATGTTGGCCAACAAATATGGACGGTCACGTCGGCTTGTGTCTGTACTCAGCACGTTCGGATTTCACAAAACACTAGTAATAAAATGGGATTAAAATCCTACAAATTCTTAATTAAAATTTCCAAAAAAAAAATTCAAATCTTACATGTTCTTCAAGTTCTCTGTCAAAATCAAAGTATGACAAATCTCCAAAGTAACCATTACTGACCTTTTTCAGACTTGATTCGCTAGCTACGACGAAAGTGTCATATGCTCTGCGAGTCTCGAACTCCAATTCAACCATCTGCTTTTTATAGTCAGCCATCAGCTTTACAGCTTCAGGAACCAGCCCTGTACAGTCGCCAGCAGCCAGTTTTTCAGCGAAAGCAACCAGCCTTGCATCTTTCGTAGCCGCAGTTTCAACAACTGGGTGAGCAAATCCGGAGTAAAGCTTTGCATTGTGGACCGCCTGCTTTTTAGCGGTAGCAAGCAGCCTTGCGTTAGCAGCCCGGTTTTCAGTGGCGGCTGTAGTGGCATCGATTTCAACGGCGACTGTAGAGGCATTGATTTCGGCGAAGGCTGTAGCGGCATCGATTTCGACGGCGGATGTAGCGGCATCGATTTCTACAGTGGCTGTAGCGGCATCGATTTCGACGCTGGCTGGCGAATCGCGGCATTTACGTTTTTCTGGGGCAATTTCGATGGCGGCTGGCGAATCACGGCCTTTGTGTTTTGGGGCGGCTGTAGTGGCATCCATTTCGAAGGCGGCTGAAGCGGCTGTGTCTGTGGCGGCATCCATTTCGACGGCGGTTGTAGCGGCGGTAGCTGTGGCGGCTGGCGATTTACGTTGTGCGTTCATATAGTCGTCAAATTCATCGAGCAGGCAAAAGAAGGATCTTGATGATTATCTGGAGGATATAAGGGTTCGATGGACTAGGGTTTTTGAATTTTTAGCTGAAAAATGTATTTTTTTAATGTTATTTAGATTTGTTTTTAAGGACCTACTAGAATCTCAAATTGGAAAAATTGGAGCTCTGGTTTAGCTCCTCCAATATATCAAAGAGGTATATACTCTCGCCCTCGACAATTGGTTTTTTTTTTTGTTGTTGTTGTTGTTGTTGTTGGCAATTTACAATTAAGAACTTTAATAATAATAAATTTTAAAATGAAGAGAGATAAAATGAGTTGGCTAATGTTCCAAAATGAGATACATTTTCTCAAAAAGAAAAAAAAAACAGATCCATGCTCACTTTTTATTTTATTTTATAATTGTTTTAAAATAAAAAAAGTGTTAATTTCCTGTATTATCTTCATTTAATGAAGAGTTATTTAATTAACGCCTTTGAAATTTTCGGTGTTTTCACAAAACTTCATGAGGTTTCAAAAATTACACAAACACTCCCTTAGGTCTTAAATTATTTTCACAAAGCCCCTTTTCATTGATGTTTCGTCCAAAGATTAATGATTTTATATTTTTTTTAAAAACTTATTCAAATGACAAACTTAGCCTTTGAGATTAAATCGCACATACATTCATTGAGGTTCATTTGTTATTTACAAAAGTTTTTATGTATGAAATCATCAAATTTTGGATGAAGAATCAATGAAAGTGGGTTTTGTTAAAACAAATTGGAATCTCAAAAGGGGTGTTCATGTAATTTTAGAAACCTCACGGGGCTTTGTGAAAACACTAAAAACCTCATGGGTGTGTTTATGTAAATAACTCTTTAATGAATGATTTCATTTCTTAATATTTTCATGGGTTTTTAGGTCTAATGGTCCCTAAACTTTGACCCGATTGGCATTTTGGTCCCTCAGTTTCCAAAATCATTCTCGTAGTCCTTTATCTTCACTTTCGTTAGGACAAATGGTTATGCCATCAATTTTGTTATCTTTTTTGTTAAATGTGGGGGCAAAATGGTGTTTTTTTGTATTATTTTTAATTTCCACCATCTGAATATTCCTTTCACCCAAAAAATAAAAACTGAAAAATTTTCTTCCTATCCTCATCATTGCAGGGAGGGTGGGTATGGTGCTGGTTGGGGGAGTGCCATCAGTTGTTGTCGAGATGGTGGGTTAATTGGCTTGATGTCGGGTGGAGGCTGTCCATAGCTTTATTGGAGTATTCATATGGTGGAAATTAAAAATAATATAAAAATACCATTTTATCAATGCATTTAACATAAAAAGTTAACAAAAATGACGGCAGGACCATTTGTCCTAACGAAACTAAAGTTGAAGGACCATGAGAATGATTTTGAAAATTGAGGAACCAAAATACGAATCATGTGAAAATTCAGGGACCATTGAACCCAAAAACCCTATTTTCATAGTATTTCACCACTTAATTTTTCTATTCGTGTTTGTAACATGAAATCATGTCAGCTGGTCAAAGTACAAATTTGGTACAATCTCAAAAAGTTTAACAAATATAAATTGTAACTTTTGTAAATAATTCAATCATCATCTGGACAGTGCAAGAAACTATAAAAAGAAAGAAGGCCAGAAGGTTCAAGGTGCCATGTTGAATGAGGACATATACAATTTAGACAAGTCACAACCAATAATGGGCTGAGAAGAAGCAAATCTTATGAACAATGCAATACAGTTCAATTATATTTTTCCTTATCAGCACCAAATAATTGTCCAATCCTAATTCATCTCATGAACCAATAAAGTTCTCCAGGAAGATGGTCATTCTTGCTCCAAGTACCTGTCAACTGGGTTCAAATATTTATGAAATAATTCAAGTTAAAAAAGAGTTTTTAGCCTTTTTGAAGCTTCCAATATACTTTCTCTGTGGGCAAAAGCACCAACTCTGATGTACTCTTCACCTCCAGGACCAAATCCCTTTCCTGGTATGGTCACTATGTCTGTCTTTTCAAGAATTTCATTGAATACATCCCAAGAACTCAACCCTGGAAAATGTACCCATATATAAGGTGCATTTTTGCCACCATACACCTTCAACCCAAGTGATCTGAATGTGTCCACAATTATTTTTGCATTTTCCTTGTAGTAGTCAACCACTGTGGTTATGGCCTGAAAATGTAAAAAGCACAACTTACAAACAGTTAAAATTTGAAACTGCATTGGATTTTAACTTACTAGAGAATTATGGATGCTTGGAAAAGAAATGGGGTGTAAATTATAACCTGGTAACCGTCTGCAGAAAGGCATGCTAGCCCTCCAGCCTGGGCAATATTTGATGCACCATTGAAGCAGGTGCACACTATGCGGTTATAGTCCTTTATGACAGGAAATCCATTTGCATATGACAACTCATCAGGGACAACCGTCCACCCGAGACGGACACCTGTAAACCCAGCAAATTTGGAGAAGGATGAAACTTCAATGGCAACCTGCACACAAAATTGGCCAAAACAACTTCCAGTGAGAATCCCTTTGTATGTCAAGTTTAACAAGAAGGTTTTGTATTGTTAAACACAAAATGATATATGGTGGTGAGGAGAACTAGTGAGAAACCTCTCTGGCCCCAGGAATTTCATAAATCGATCTCGGGCTGTCATCAGATATATAAGCAGCATAGGAGTCTTCATAAACAATTATTGATCCGTTTGCTTTTGCAAACTCTACCAGTTGCTTTAGTTGCTGCTGTGATGCAGCATTGCCAGTTGGATTGTTTGGAGAGCAGAAAAATATGATATCCGCCCTTGAAGCAGTTGATAGATCAGGAAAAAAATTATTCTCAGGCCTGCAGTTCAGGTACACAATGTTCTTATACTTCCCAGTTTCCTCTTGAAACCTGCCAGCTCGACCGGCAATGACATTTGAATCTATATATGCCTCCCAAAACATAGTAAATCAATAAGGTTCCTAGCAAAAAAATTCAATGGGAAAATAATGGATGTGTGGCCTCCATGTAGCTTTAATTTAGTATTCCAAGACGTTTATAAACATCAGCTATAACCTTGTTTCTGTAGGCACAAGAGCCAATCTACCATAGTCTCAATGGAAAAAGGAAAATTGATATTGAGAGTGAGATGACACTGATTATTTTCCTTATGTCTCATCCTAATTTAGAATTAAAGAAAGACATACTAGGTTAAGATTTGATTTGATTTATATTTACCGGAAACGAAGGGTCTTGCACAGCTAGAGTCACATTGGATCCCAGAAGCATCTGCTTCGGGGAAAAGTCAGAATTAATAACACGTTTTCATCTTAAAAGCAACCTAAATAGTAACAGATATTTATCTTGTTCCACTCTCATCCAACTATGAAAAGCTTTACTGCATAAACGAAGTTTTCGTACCTGAAGGCGAGAAATGTCGCACTGTGCACCATCTGATACAAAAACCTCATCGCCTTCTATGACCCTTTAAGTATGGTTGATGAAGTCGAATTGTGAACCACATATGTCTATTTTCCCACGTGTCATGGATGATACTGTTGTCACTCCAATTACATGGCTGGTGATTTCTTTGGACTTCCATAATAGTGTGGCCCTCAAAAAATTTGTTAGAGCGTTTGTTTTATTTTTTATTTTTATATTAGGCGAGGTGTCATTATGGATGTCTAGTTTCCATAAGTAGATACAAGCAAGTAGAGTGCCTTGCTGCGATGGCTACCTCTTCACTCTAAGAAAGTCATCAACATACAATCTGGAAGCAACTATTCTGCTTGTAGGAAAGCTTAATGGGTGTGTAATGGTCACACTTTGGTCTCTGCTTATTATTTCAGAGAATCATTTTGGGAAGGATACTATAAATTAGGATCAACTATACCTTACAACTCCCGTAGTTTGAGTAAAATTTCATGTTGGTCACGATGTTTCTGCAGTTGCCATTCTTCTCGAAGATTATTACTAAGTATGTCCATCTACCTATTTTTATTTAACAAAGGTTATCAAATTTTGGTGCAGGCATTAAGAAGGGCAATTGCAGAAAAATTCTACAACAATATGGTCTGTGTAAGTCTAGATTCAAAATCAATGTTGTGAATGAGGGCGGCAACCAGGCTACGCAGAAAATAAGGTGGGGAATTGTGGTTAAAAAGAAGAAAGAATAAAAAGAATAAAAATCAGAATGAACACCAAAGATTCCATCGTACCATGTGGCCTTGCTCAGCTCCATACCCTCTGTAACCTTGAACTGTTGATAGAGCATGTGCATGCTGCAAAGTAGACACACAAACACAAGAGCTTAATATTCATCGTTGACAAGAAACCAAATAAAAAAAATAGATCAGTGCAACTTAGTCATCAAGAAAAGAAAATGACAAGTTTTTGTTCTTTCTCTGCTTCTTTCAACTCCAACAAAGCAATAAACAGAAAGCAAAAAAGTAAAAGAAATGAAACGAAACAGTACTAATGGGTGAAGAAAAGCTAGTGAAGATCCACTGCCAAAGAGGCTTGCATATACCAAAGAGTTTTATATCTCTACATCTACAAGTAGGTTATAAAGAGAAGACGTATACGATGAAGACATGCAGTCGTCACTACTTTCCCAAATATTGGATTATAGTGGAAATGGAAACTAATGATAAAAATAAAAGAACAGTTCAACTGGAAAGTAATATCAAACAGGACCAGCATACTATTATTTGTAATTGTGTTGGTGCTGTTTGAAAAGGTTTTAGATTCAAATTTTACTCAGATGAAAAAACTACATTCAACAATCTGAGATCCACAAAATTACCTCAGCCATAGACAGTAGCCCCGAAAATAAACGAGACAAAAAAGAAAATTTTCTGTAGCAAAGCAACTTAGAAAAAATCGATTTTTTACAAGAACAATAAAAATTTGCGTTTTCAACCTGTCCATCTACCAAAACAATTTGATATTCTAGAGGGATTCCAAGAGTTGATTTTGATATGAGAGTAGCGGTGCGTACTGATCCATTTTTGGAGAAAATGGAGGGGTCAAAAAAATATAAAGCAAAAGTATACGACTTATACTAACATTTGAAACAAAATAAGCATGATAACATATTAAAAGACTTCCAAAACAAAATTATCATATTTCGCATAACACATAGTGCAAACAAGATATGAAGCACATAAGAACCAATAACATTATGGAAAAATATAAAAACTAGTTAATGATACTTTTTCTGAAGTCTTGTGAGGACGATCTTGGGAGATTAGGGTTCGATCGACGATATTGAATTTTGAAATGCGGTGTTCGTTTTTTTGGGTCTGATGAAATGGGGTGTTTGATGGTCCAGTTTCAGTTATTCGGTATTTTGTGAATTTTCTATTGGTTTGCCAAACTCTCCCGCTGTTTAGGGTTTTTGAATTTAGTAGAACATGATAAATGACTAGTACATACACTTGAGAAGCATCTTAATTAATATGTGGAGCCTCTTCATAGTCTTTAGGTAAGATTGTTTTACAAGGAAACAGTACCTTGACTCGACGAGTACATTTTATACCAAGTAGTCCTGCAATGTAGGTAAAGTTGAGAGAAATTGGAATTCCACACCATCTGGCCTTGGAAAGTTCTCATCTTCACCAAACCCAGATAGTGGAGGGACTTTCCTTTGACACCTACAGCACCAAAGACAAAAAAAAAAAATACAATTAAAGTTGGACCCTCAAAGAACTCAAGAATTTCAGCTATACAGGCATGTAATCAAGGAAATTAATTTGTACTTGTAATCAAGGAAATGCAGAAAAGTAAACACAATGTCTCCAGCTGTGTAGATGGGTTTCATTTACCACGAATATGCTGCAAGAAATTTGAGACCTTTGTGAATTGCTATCAAATTTCTTAGAAAGGTCAGCCATTCATGAATTATTGGAATTTGGGACACTCACATAAGCATGAAAAGAAAGTTGTTGAAGCAAAGATGGCAGCAACTAATTAAAAGCGTTTCAATAGAATTAACGAAATAAGGTGGTGTTACCAATTTGCTCATGGAGTATATTCTATAGTTTAATGAAAAATCAATTATGTCATTCGCTTATATTATAACACGTAGATTAGTCACACTGCTAGATGTTATCACCGTTGCGATCTAACAATTTCTCACAACTTAGGACATTTCATATTCACTTTCCTTAAGCTATTTAAAAGATTTAAAACTTACAAGAAAAAAATCTATATCTATATATATAAAGCAAAAGGAAGAGAATGGTGAAACATTCAAAATACTAGAAAATGCCCTTGGTTAATCCAAATATTAAGAATTAAAATTATTAATTAAATGAGGATAATATGGTAAATTCACACCTTTTCATATTACAAAAAATTAAAATTAAAAGAAAAATCAGATAATGAATCCTATTTTTATGGAACACAACTATCCATTATCTTTTTTAATTCTAAAATAAATTTAATTTATTTTTAAAAAAAGCCTCCCGCGGGTGCGGAAGTGCCTGCGGAGAGGCTAGTATATATAAAGCAAAAGGCAGAGAATGGTGAAACATTCAAAATACCAGAAAATGCCATTAGTTAATCCAAACATTAAGAATTAAAATTATTAATTAAATGAGGATAATATGATAAATTCACACTTTTTCATATTAAAAAAAAATTAAAATTGAAAGAAAAATCAAATAATGAATCCTATTTTTATGAAACACAACTACCCATTATCTTTTTTAATTCTAAAATAATTTTTTTTTAAAAAACCTCCCGCAGGCGTAAAAGCGCGTACGGTTAGTGATTTATAAATTCTATGATCCTAAAAATTTTATCTTCTATTTCATCTGTACAAAATGAAATGACGTGGCATGATCCGTGAGTCAAAACATCATAAATCGACGATCAGTATGATGGAGGCCTGGAAATAAAGCCCAGGCCCGATGGGCTAGCCCGAACCCGGCCCGATTTTTTGATGTGTGGGCTTACCCGGCCCGACCTAATGGGCGGGCTTAGCCCGGCCCGAAGTCTAATATATAGGGCTTGGGCCTTATTTATAAGCCCTTTAAAAGCCCGGCCCGGCCCGATTATAATTAATTAATTTATTTATTTAATTTTAATTATATTATATGTATTATTGCATGTGTGGCATAGTGTATTTTTATATTTATATTCCTTTGTTGAAAGTTGAAATGAACAATACTTTTACTCATTCCAGAGGCAGACAACGGAGAGTGGGCAGCTGTAGCCTGTAGATAAGGAAGTGATATTTTGTCTTAAAGTAACTTTGTTTTGAACGAAAGAAAGTTGTTTTACCAACTTTTCTTTGTTGAAAGTTGAAATGAAAGACTTTTACTCATTCCAAAGGCAGACAACGGAGAGTGGGCAGCTGTAGATAAGGAAGTGCAAATGAGTTTTTCTACCCAGAAGACAGAATGCGTGCGTGCACACGATATTCAAAAAAATTTCAGGTAAAATGAAGACAGAAGATAGAAGGCCGTTGTGTAGTCTCCATCCATCAACATAAATAAACTACTGCAGTTCCTTTCTTCTCTCACACTTCTGGAGTTAAATCATCTCAGCAGCAGCTTTGCTCTCAAATTGCTTTCAACTTTGAGCTTGTGTTCCTCAAGTTTGCGGTATTTTATATACAATTTATTAAAGCATATTAGTTGATTTTCCTTTGGTATATTGATCTTTGTTTAAATATCTGCTTTCAACTTGTGCTTGTGTTGTTTGAATTTCCTTGTTAATTAGAAAATTTAAAATGGACTCTACTCAAAGTCAACCTATTGAGATCCCTGTTGTTGCTGACCCCTCTCAAGCTATTCCCTCTAGTAAAAAACATAAACAAACTTCTGATGCATGGTTACATTTTAAGAAAATTGAAACTGAAAAAGATGGTAAAAAAGAAATAAAAGCCGAATGCAATTATTGTAAAAATTTATTATCTTGTGCATCCACAGGTGGTACTAGTCACTTAAAAAGACATAAAGATTCATGTATCAAAAGAACAAACTTGGATATTAGGAAAATGCAGTTAAATGTACAACTTTCTGGAAAAGTAGGCACCTACATCATCTACATCTT